TCGGTACCAAAGCCTTAGTTGGATACTAATGGCCACCTTGCCTATTAATCTGAGAGGAAGTTGGATTTGAGGAGAGAAGGATAACAGGTGCAGGGATAGAGGGAACGAGCTATGGATAATATAGATTATTAATGAACTTTTGGATAGCTCTTGATCTGCCCCGGGTCTGTTTGGGGCTCCATATGTTGCCTTGGACAGTTCATCTCCAGTAGACCTCAGGTGGCTCACTTGTTCAACCTAATGCAACTGTGCCTGGGCTACAGCAACACAAGCAAACACAAAGAGCGCAAAGTAGTCCGCACGAACCAAATCTGTACAAGAAAGCCAAACTAACAGACGGAGTAGTCCAACTATTTAAATCTTCTGAATGTAAACATATTCTGTTGATTGAGTCGACAAGACATTTTGAGTATTAGGTAAATATCTTGATTATAATCTAATTTCAGGAAGAGGCCTGTCATAATTGTGCTCGATCAGTGTGCCACATGATTATTCTTTGGCTCACAGCCCACTGCTTATTAAAAGCTGCCACTTGTGGTTTACACGCCAAAAAGTTTGGACGTTATTTTGCGCAACAACCACACAAGCGGGTTAAACCGACTCTACCACTTATTTCCCTCCCTCACTACTTCAATGTAATGCAAAATGAAGCGGCATCAAAAAGATGTGTAAATTACATCTGGCTTCCAGGACACTATCTGGCTGCCAGGAAGCATCCGTAAATATTTATTGCTGAACATCAGTGAAGTGTGTGAAGGTGCGGATGTCTGCCAGGAAGAGTGTGTGCTCACGTGTATGTCCAGCTGTGCAGTACTCAACATACATCCAGCACTGGTAGGGAGATGCTTCGTAATTCATGGCCTTATTCTTCAACTAAACAAATCAACACCAACTAACGCTATTTCATGCGTCTCATAACTGCTGTATACTAAAGTCCATTACTCTCCACAATCCTTCCTACACTTACATCTAAACTATTCCACACCTCTAAAAGGCACATTTAAATCTACATCTATTTTGTAGGGCAATACAGTCCACTGACTATAGTGATTCCTCTCATTATATCTCAACATGCTGTGTGTGATTCTGTGTAATATGCAATATTTGGGCTATGAGAACAAACACTTGTATTTGTGTTCTATGTCTGTAATTTGAGTGAAGTGATTCCTGTGCAATCCGATTAACGATTGGAATGAGCAGCTATATAAAGAGTATTTACAGCTTCAAATTATGCCGTAACGTACCGATATAAAAACCCTGGTCTTGGAAAGATGATATCCAGACTGTGAAGAATAAATGTAGAAAAGCTGAAAGTTAATGCGAGGCTGATAAACTGCAACTGTCCCACAATATTACTGTATGAAATATCAGGAAGTAGTTAAGGAAGCAAAAGCGGCTTATTAATCTGACCTCATTTTGAAGATCCATCCTAACTCTAGGGTGCTTTTCAATATTATTGACTTACTTGTTAACCTCCCTTCTAGTCACTGTAATGAAGCCTCACTTGATAACTGTGTTCAGGTTAAGTTTTTAATATTCTTTTACAAAAAGCAGCTTTTGGACAGGGGCCAAACTGTCACTGTTAATGTTTTGTGTGCGATGAGGTGTTTGTAAGTCTCCCAGAGAAGGCAGTGGCATGTAGCCTACCTATCCCCGTCCGTATTACAAAATATTCAGCAGCCTTTATGTTATCTATTATTTATAGCACTCTTGCCACTGGTTTAATTTTTTTTTTCTAAATATGCAGTTCGTCTCAGCGAAGGTTTTTACCTGGTTCTTGTCCTACCTTAGAAAATATTTGCAACAATACCCTTCATCTTCAGTAGAACAATAGTGCATGATTCTGCTTGGACGTATCGAAAACAAACTGAAATAGAAAGGTGCACCCAGTAGAGGCTGTGAGGTACTCAGTGGAATGGTAGTTCCTTTAGCCGTTAGCTGATAGTAAAATATACTGTCCAAATCAACAAAAGTGTGCAAACTGTATTCCCCCACTGTGTCTCTGGGCACAGTGTTGCGGCTCGGGGTCGGTGATGCACTCAGCTGTATTATCACAAATGGTCCCTACCGGCCGGTGGGCGGTTAAAAGTAGTGAGTAAGGCGTCAGCAGGAAGAAAATGGAAGTATAAAACAGGCAATAAAAGGTGTGAGTCACCGCAACCACTGGTCCTTGAGCATGTAGCCATTACTGGCCACCCAAACTATTTTGCAGTTTGCTGTAGCAGAATCCGAGATTGATACCATGGACAGACACAGAGGTGCACACTCACTCACTGACGCACGCACACATGCGACCGATCGCATGAATCTCCTGGCGGAGATAATAAAAGAATTGTCACTGATATGCTGATGACACATCTATATCTAGGTGTAGGGAATTCTAACTAGCCATTACCAAGAATGGCCGTGACAGCATACACAGTGTCAGAAGGTAATTACACCAATTCTGAAATAATCTTTTTGGCCTACTATCTCAATTTCATTGCTTCACCGTGAAGATGACACACTGTCTCCTAATGCAAAGTGACTCATTTCACACTCATTTTAATATTCAGGAACAGGTTAAGAGAGCTGTTCAAACTATTAACTTTTGACTGAGGACTATTTCCTCATGCAAGAGAAACATTTTAATCCATAAGTAATCAGAAAATAGTCATCCATGCTGTAGTTGGTTTTTATTTAGCTAAAAAAAAAAATTGAGTTAAATATAATATAATATTTCACTTGTCTCCCACCTGCAATACAGTATCCGGTTTTTCACTTTTACACTGATTGGCTGTTCTTTTAGAACTGAAAGTTTCCTCAACTGTATCACTTGAGTCTGAGACTATCCCATATCACCGAAGTTGCATTCAGAGGTCTTGTGGCGGCTTCCGGGTATTTTCAGTCTACTTAAATCAATTAAGAGGTAGATTTTGAACGTGCCTGAAAATGTTCACCAATCGAATCATTACAGCATTCCTTAAAGCTACTCGTATGTATTTGCATTTTAATCAATTGTTTTACCTTTCTTTTATGTTTATTTTATTAATATGCCTTATTTAAGTCTTTTTTCTCTTAATGATAGTTTATCTGTTTTATTTTTCAGCAGGTTTTGGACCAATCCAGGACTTTAATACTAGTTAATATTACAGTCAACAGACGGCCGGAAAAGGTTCTCCAATGGGATGCTCTGCTTCTTCTGGACATGTAAGTTGGGCAATTGTTATCTAACACATAGCTATAAGAACTCGATCGCTAGTTTCATTTCTTCTTCAATGCAGCATGATGTTCATTTTGCTAATGATGTCCCATTTAGAGTAAAATTGGGTAAATAATAAGGCAGGGTATGCTTTAGGGTATGGTCACCTTGTCATTAACAGGGAACTGTCCACAAACCAATGGGTGAAGTCAAGGTGAGTACGTCCACAGTTTATGGTTCGTGTTAGTCTTTTTTCCCTCAACTATAACTACAATAAGCAAATGGAAATTATATGTGGAATGCAACCATAACCCCGTCAATACATAATACAATAACTATGGAAACTAAGCAAAGCTGGAAACTCATGCCTACATTATCATTTTATACTATGCTTGTACTATATCGGTCTTGTATCTCTATTTCCATTATTCCACAACTTCAGTTTCAAATTTCAATCAGACAGCATCATATATATGTATGTATGTATATATGTATGTATGTATGTATGTATGTATATATGTATATATGTATGTATGTATATATATATATATATATATATATATGTAGTACAATGTCTGCTCAGGATACATTCAAGGATTCATGTGCGGTACACAGTAATCATATCTTTATAAGACTGTGAATTTAAACACTCTATCTGTCTGAAGAAAAGTTAGTGTGAATAGCGGAGGGGGGAGTGGATATTGAGTGAAAGTGACGGATACAGAGTATGCAGCTGTGCGCTGTAAGGTGGCGGATGCTGACTGTTGGATTCTTTTGTGTGCGGTGACATGCGGCAAGAATGTATGTGAGACGGTGGACTGTTGATGCGCTTTGAAAAGAGTCACTGTGGTAAATATATGACTTTGTTCTTCAACCACTTAATGGGAATAGAACCTGTGAATCTCAATAGATCTATTTGTTCAAGGTGTAACCCGTCACCTAAGAATAGGGTCTGTTAATTGCAGTAGTTGTATGCTATATTGGATAGTGTGAAGAGGAGGCAACTTTAGAATAGGGAACCTGTGTGGGTTGATAAGTGTCAAACTACTATTTAATTAGTTATGAGCAAATTAATTCAGAGTTGTTTGGACACTATAAACACTTCTAGTTTGGTGTTTTGTTACATAGAAATAGGCCATATTCATCAGGTGTTGTTAAATTAGAAGGATTATCAAGTCATGTAGAACAAATTCCTTACTCCCTATTAATACACAATGAATAGGGGGTTATTAAGGGAAACTTCTTAGTTGAAGTAGAATAAGGTCATGCAGAATAATGTATTAATAGTGCTTTATAAGATTAATGAAGAGCCAATATGCTACCAATATGCATGCTAATAAGCATCTAATGGTAAACATGTACCTTAATATAAAGTGCTGCCATATAATACACTGTATACACATACTACAGGGTAGTAGAGAGGATATGAAGAAATTCTGGTATATCTTGTGTATATGTTTTTGTCTGAAATGTATGAGGTTTTTTTCCAAACATAAAAGAGACAAAGACATTCAGTACTGAATAAATAAAGAAAGGCATACACTCTCCAGTGGCCGTATGCATGTGGAATGGAAAACTTTAAAGGTAGGCATAGGCAGCGTCTGCCTCTATGCACGGCGGAAAACACGATCAAAAACAGTTCACAGATCTTTGTTGTAAGCTATATCCCATTTAATGAAAGTGGGACCACAGCCAAAAACAGCTGGCAAAGACATCCAAGTGATGTCCACATTGATTGTGAAATTGTTCACAACTACGTTGAAATACACTAAATTCAGTTGATAGAACATGTGAATGTGTTTCAAACTGTATTACTTACAGGCATAGTCTGTCCACCATGCAGGCTGTTGATGGCGGCCTGCGCTTCTGCGTGGCTGGAGAACTTGACAAAGGCGCAGCCTGTATCCACAGAAAAGGAGAAACAGAGAGGAAGGGCACAACATCAGGGAAGGGCCTTGAATATGGGGGGGGGGGAAAACACCATTCATTACTATTGTTTTCATGTTATCTGGTTTGTAAATATATTCTGCCATGTGTGTGTTAGCGCATAACTCTGAATAAATCAGTCTAATTGTAGTGAAAGCATTAGCTTCGTGGAACATCCTGTCCCTCGCCCATTTCTTATTCCACCCCCTCCACTTTGGAGCATGGAGCCAAGGCATTTACTATCCTGACTTGTTTGTGATTATCAATCTGTTTAATATTTACACATTGTGATTTGTGTGCAGTCACTCATAAAAGAGATTATGATGACAAAGGCATAGTATTATAATCTGCCTATCTAACCAAATCTTTGCTCGCACATAATTTCAGATGGAGGGGGGCTTTGCTCAAGGGGCATTGAAATCATCTTAAATCTGTTGTGTAGTTAACGCACAAAAGGAAAAGTCAACATCAAAAGTTGGCCGGAAGACAAGGGAACGGGTGTCGGCAGCAGTGTTCTGGAGCATCATTGCATTAACGTTTCAAATGATTGAATGATTCAAGTAGATAATAATAACCCACAATATGGTTTTTTTAGAAGGTTACATGTTTTAACCACATGATAAAATAGTGTATCAGTGTGTAGTTAAGGACAGGCACTAAACTTCTACAGCATTAGGAGAAGTGAAATACAGTGGAACTGAACTGTGGTAGTCTTTCAAAAACCATTAAATTAAACAGGAGCTATTTCTCTAAGCTTTATGGTCGTCATAGACTGCTCAAGGTATTCTGTTATGTCCTATTCTTATCCTTGCCTTCAGGTAGTGTTAAGTCAAAAGATACCTAATTAACAAACTCGTGGATTAATTCTGCCCCCTTTTCATTAATCGAGTAGCACCAGCGTCTTATAACCAGGCGGGCTGTTTCTGAGTTCAATCCCTGGTTTCTTAAGAACTGCTAATACCTATTTAAAATGGTTACGTATGTTCATATGCATTTATCCGTTCACAAAGGAGTCTTGATGATTCATTTAAATTGCAAACACTGATAGGTCGGCTCAGGGGATGTTCGACCCATTCTCTTCTACGTCTCAGGAGTCAGCTTTGCTTCACAGACAAACAACTTAATAATTTCCTGACAAAATCAAAAAAAGATTGAACTGAGGGACATGCAGTATGTGCACAATCAATGGAAAACAATTTCCACCTTTACCTGAGGCTCTCCTTCTACATTCCATCCACACAATAAATGCAAAGCAGTTGAAACCGTTGTGTGCAGAAATATGGAGAGTTGTAAAGGCCATGTGTTTCCTGTACTGTCAAATGTCCTCAAAGCTCTATAGATCTACAGAGGCAAACCGATAAGTCAAAGAAGCCTTTGATTGTGTCACAGCACTCTGGAACGCTTTTACTTCACTCCAACGCTGCTCTGGGTAGAGGCAGGAAAGGTCTTCATTTGTCCAACTGAAATGTGTCGGCCTACTGTGTGCCATTTGACTGCAAGTCTGTCTTTGAGGGAACAAATGCATTTAACCTTTTGTAGTTGAAATAATAAGGGGCAGTTTGTTCTTGCAAAGGCCTTATTGTTTTGTAAGGCAAGATAACTTGCTGCTGGTTTACTGACAAGACTATCAGATTATGTGCCAGAATCCCAGTGACCCCAGCAGCTCAGCCCGACCACAAAGACCCTGAAAACTGCAGGGCTTGGCGCACCCCATCAAAGGCAAAGTCATGTTCAACATGCAATGTCCTTAAATTTCTCCTCCAAATAAAACAACAAAAACAAAACAATGCTTTAGCCACGCTTTTCCTGACCTAGAAAAAAAACGTTAAGGGACTCACAGCACAACATTTCAGAAGATTGGAAGTTCTACAGCCTCATAAATTATAGTGCACATTTAAGTTTTTGAATTTGATGTCTCAGAATGAGTTTGAGGGGAAAAGGAAAAAGAGAGATTGTATTGCTTTCAAGCGAGAGGATCTGCACAGCCTTTTGAATTCCCGGGGTAATAATATGTATGCATGAATTCCATCCCGCTGGATGGGTGACATTTATAACACAACTTAATTATAGACCTAAAAGCCATCTCTCTATTTTTCCTGACAATTCAGGGCTCTATTCAACTCTGGCAGCAAGTGTTGCACTTTGAAAGTACTTTGAGGAGCAGCACCATAGAGAGATGGATGTTAAACTTCTCGGCCTTTTTATTGGGTGAAGAGGGGTGCTGAAAAGCTTCTGAGTAGCATAAATTTACATCAACAGGGGACAAAGCCTCCATCATGGAACAGATAGCACTGTCAATTTCAAGGTCTGTCTCATTCAAATTACAGGAACCTCATCCCAAGCGAGGCGGCTGGCAAAATAATTTGCCGTAACATCCCGTAATGATTGCGTGGGACTGTTGCACAGTGAGTGATAGTACCAGATACCTATATATGAGACCTTTGTCTGGGGGTAGCATTCATAGTCAACCATGCTCTACAGTTTCCATTTTATGGCAGTGAAAACTTGAAGAAGATGTAATGATCAAGATGGTGATAATGGAGACAAATACCAACACAGGAAACGTATGGTATGTGAAGAGAGAAGAAAGAGAGATGGGGTGCAAGGTGCAGGAGGGTGAAAACGAGTGAAAGCGCGAATGAGGGAGAAAACTAGCTTCTGTCTGACACAGCAGCATCGCGCATATTTAATTGTACGTGCTGTCAATCAGCTTGAGGTATCTGAGCAGACAGGAAGAGAGGGAGCTGGAGAGGGAGGGAGAGACAGCAAAAGAGGAAACAAGCCAGGGAGAAAGGAAGGTAGTGGGCCGGTGGGGCGACGCAGAGCAATAGACCCGGGATTAACAGTGAGAGGAACAGATGTAGACACAGATAGGCGTGTGGTTCAGTACAGCCAGCCTTTCTCTTTGATATACTCGGAAGGCTTGCACATTATCAACCCCTCTACCTTGCCTTCCCCCCCCCCCCATCCTTTCACACATCCAGACGCTTCACGTAGGAGAATAAATCACACTCAACAGAGAGAAAGGAAGGTTCCAAGCAATATCACTGACGTTATCGCTCAAATTATGGCTTTGAGACACAAACCCATCAAAGGACGGTAGGGGTGCCTCTCGCTCTCTCAGAACAATCCCACCTGCATCGCACATTTCACAGCCATCTTTAATTTGACTATGTTTTACTAACTAAATAGCACATACGCCACAGACATGAATGCATAAGCTGTTACTGAATGCAGGCAAATCTGCCGCACAGTGAGTGACAGCAGCAAAACCCAGAGCCTGGCTGCTTTATTTACAGTAGGACATTATCGTCCAATGATGTCTGTGGGGAGGGATGACGGGAATGTGGGGAACAAACATGATTACACCCCTCCGCTTTTCAGATAACAGGAAGAGAAGGAGGAGGAGGAGAGGGATGCGCTGAAAGACGAGGTGTTGTGTGATGTTTTTGTTGAGTACAAGCCCAGGGTGAGAGGAGCTGCCGTGATGAAGGGACAACATCAGAAGAAGTTCGGAAGGGAAAGAAAAAAAGGGAAGAGGAAGAAGAGTGAAAACAAAAAGGGAAGGGAAATATAGAGTAGTGAGAAAAGGGAAAGGGGAAGGGGAGGTGTCGGAGCACTGTGACAATGAAGTATGAAAGAAATGCTAGCGAGACACATAAGAGGTGGTGAAAAAAACAGAATAGCTGAAGGGGAGGATAAGTTATTCAGAAGAGCAGAGTGGATCGCAGACGATGTCAATGAGTGCAGAGAAGGTGGAGCACGGTTTTAAAAATGGAAAGAGCAGAAAGGATAAGAAAGACAGCACACGTACACACAGACAGACAGAGGGATTAAGAGGGACAGACAGGGGAAAGAAGTAGTGGGAGGTGTGTGGGCTCTGACCCTTACTGGCCCCATCAGGCCCTCGCAGGACGGTGCACTCCTCGATCTGGCCGAAGGTCTCGAACAGCCGCCGGACGTCGTCCTCGCTCTGCTGCTTGCCAAGCATTCCGACAAACAGCTTCCTGTCTTCTGGATAGGAAGAGAGGAAGGGGAAGGGAAGGAGGGTGGAAGAAAGGAGATAACAGACAAATGCTACAGCTGATGGTACCGTTCTGCTGAGCTGAGAGGAACTTGTGCAACTCAAACCCCCCTTTTATCAGCAGTCTGCTGTGTTGAGTCTATGCTGCTGCTGCTGTTGTTGTTATTGTTGTTGATCTCACTGATGTGTGGTGTGCCACCCCACCCTGGTATGAGGGAGATATATTCTTATTTCCAGTGAGCTATTCAAGTCTGCCACGGTGACGTTTGATACAGATGATGTTTGGAGCTGGGTTTCAGGTAAAGGTAGAAAGAGAGCGCAAATATTTTGCACAGGTAGACAAACTGTTAGATTGTCTGGATGCTTAAGTCACAGAGTTGAAAGAGAACATGGAACGAGAACATGGTGTGACATTTTGTCATCGCCAAAGGAGCAGGAATTATAATAAGCAACAGTAAACTCTAAAGCACAATCTATCCTATGATAAACTTGGGAAAAGTAAAAAAAAAAATAAAAAGTGTCTCATTCAAGAGTACCCGCTCCACTTTCTGCTGACAGTATGTAAAATATGTCTTATAGAGACAAATTGAAACTCTCATTTCTTCAGTATGAATGACTAAAGATAGAGAACAAATTATTTGGAAAATTAGTCAAGTAGAATTAAAAAATGAACAAGATTCTGAGCATTGCCCAATGTTGGCCTTTTCAGTGTAAAGATGTTGGTGGATGATTATCAGCGTAAGGTTTGCAGATTTGTGTTTTTTAACTCCAACAAATACAAAAGTAAATTAAGCTAGATTCACAATTCAAATAAATGATTTATCGTCCTACTATGTTGCGTACACGCTGCATATTTTTTTACAACTTCATACAAGTTGAAGAGTAAATGAGATTTTTTTTTTTACCACAATAACCGTGACCACGGCCTAATGCTTTCTCAGGCTAGTGATGGAGAAGGGCGGTTGCAGAAACCATTTCAGCACATATAAGTTTAAGAGCTACAAGGTTTAGTTCTAATGCCTTGAAACAAAAGAATGGCAAAGCATTATACTGGGTCATTTATATTGTAATATTTGAACCCCTGACTAAATATTTCGGGTAAATCTGTGATTTGTTTAGCTGGTTTACTTTGCACTATTATGAATAGATAACCTCAGATCTACTTCTTAATGGTCAATTATTGGTCACTAATTCTATGTAATAAGTTAAGTCCACTTAAAAACAATGCTAGGTACGCATCATAGAAACATCAGGGCTATATTCCTACTATCAAACTGACTTCTTTTGTAAACTTTATCAGTAGGAAAAGGTCAACGGTAAGTGGTCAAAGACAAATGTTAAAGTTTAATAACGGTCCCCTTTGGAGAGTCTAAATGTAAGCTGAATCTGGTGTGATTTAACATCTGGAATGACGTTGAGTTTCTCAATGCTTCTCCGTATTAAGTTTGAAAGGCAGCTCCACCTACACCAATATCTTCACTGCCTGACCTCCAGTGGGAGTCACTCCTGCTCAGATGCATGGGCCCTATACCGCTACATTTTGGCCAGCCAGAAAGCTGGATTTTTCTAATTAATCTTCCCAGTGCCCTGGCATTACACAGTGCATTCATCTTCTTTACATCTTTTACATTATGCATCCCCTATTCCGCTGTGTTGTGGAATGAAATGGCTACTAGCAAGAACCCATCGCCAGAACTGATGGAAAGTGGCAGGAAGAGTAAGAAGAGTTTATTGGAAATGACACTGTTGATCATCAGTGTGAGTCATTTGACTGGTTAGAGGCGGGCGAGGAGCGGAGGGCGAGAGCATCACCTGGGTCTCGACAGATGTGACGCCTCCTGTACCTGCCAGGCCCCATTAGACGCAGCTGTTCTAAAAATAAAGCACCAGCGCTTCCTTTTTGCAGCAGGGAAATCGGATCCTGTTCCTTTCCTGTAAAGTTCAAATGAGACACGTGCCTGCTACCCGCTTGGCCACACAAATGAGCACCTGAATAATCAATAAAGGCCACGCTGCTTGGTCTCTACTGCTGGTGTTGTAGCGGTGGTGTCAGTTCATGTTCCTGTAGTCACGCCTCACACAGCGAGATTTCTCAAACCCACCGAGTACGACTGCTCATTACCATCCCTCCACCCCTCGGAGCTCCGGGGTTGGAAGTAAGCAAGAACCCTGAGGTGATCGCCACAGAGACACTTATACCATCAACTGGGATTTAGCAAATACCGACATGGAGGACAGACATCTAGCTGGAAATTGGGCAACAGTGGAGGAGCTGCGTAGCTGTAAAGTCGGCCCTGAACAGGTGTGGGAGAGAAATGAGCCTGACCCCTGTCCATGGCAGCAAAGGTGAAACATGAAATGAGGCAACAGCCCGTCCAGAGCGCACATGACTTTGCCTTGATGTCCCTCCATCTTTCAGATTTACACCGAGGTGTCACTGTTACAACTTAAATGGGCAGAGTGCAGTTTTACAGGCCTCCTGCAGTGTGTTAATGTTTTGGGACAAAAGTCTCATCTCGGTCCTGGCCCGAGGAGATCTAATGGCGGTTTTACAAGGCTAATTAACAAGCCATGAGCGAAGTAATGAACTTTCCAAATGTGCTGGCAAACGCAAAAATAAATTACACCCCAGTGAAGGCATTAAAGGAAGTGTGAGTGTACTTGGGAGCCTTCCTTTGGGATAGCCACGGTGAGAAAATGAATTTGGAGCTGCTATCTTTTCATTGCCTGACCTAAGAGTGTCTCAGTCGGCCCACTGCATGCGCTGGCCAGAGTATAGATTGCTATTAATTAGTCCACTTTGCACCTGTCTCCAAAGCAGCTCTTATTGGATTTTGCATGTTCTCGCTCGTCGCTTATGGCCACTCGCAAGCTTTGAATTGGCATTTTATGAATATGAATAAATATATTGTAATGCACCCTCTGCACGACGGCGGCGTGACTCCAAATTGTTATCCATTAAAAGTGGGGAGAGCAGGGGGAAAAAAAGAATAATCTTCTCAAGTACAGTCATGTATTTGCATTAAGAGGGGTGAGGACCTTCATATGGAACCGTCTGAGGATACAGAAGTATGACAGAACTCATTGAGCCGACTGTTTGACCTCTTGGTACTTATCTCTCATTGAGAGGGGCTCATCTTATCCCACTAACAGAGCTGAGCCACACAGCTCGAAAACATTTGAGCTCTACAGCACTTCTCTGCCCTACTCTGAAGAGACCTTTTGTAATCTGCACTTTCAAAACCTTGCCACTACTTTAAAATGATAATGTGTGTGCACGTGTGTGTTGCAGCCATGAAGCCTGGCCAGATTATTTTGATGATTTTTTGTATCGTTGCATCTTCAATCACCATTAATTAATCCTGGAACCTTTCTAACTGTATACATTTAACTATAATTAGCAGTGTTATGGAAGATATTTTTATTATATGTACAGTATTGGATATTTGTAAAGCGAATGTGTGCAAAGACGTACGGTTTTATTATTGTCAGGCCTTTGCCAGTGCACACACTCTTCTTCTCATACACAAAGTAATTCACACGTCCTTTTTTTGTGTTTCCTCATCTTCTGACTGAAGGTGGGAGCAATTGTGTGGAAAATGGTTCCATGTCAGTCTACAGCCATGTCCAAACTGAGGTGGCATGTGGACAGCCCCAGTTTATGAATGCAAATAAAAAAAAGGAGATCAAAAATGTTATCAAAACACTACTGACATCTGACAATTGCTTGTCTCAAGGAGCCTTTTCATTTCAGCGCCCGGTATATTAAAAATTAATGGATTTTGCACAGATGCCATATGCTGTCAAGATTGATGCTTCTCTCCCTGGAATAAAGTGCTACTTGTGTTGTAGGCTGCAGTATATGCATATAGAGTGTGCTTTTTCTTTCCTCCCATCTCCTTTTGTCTCTCTATTGCCCTCCCTGTATCTTTCTCTTTACCCTTTTAATGGCATCCCTCACCCTGTTCTTTCTCTCCAGGCAAATAGTGCATTGCTGTGAAGTATACTTTTAAATAGTTTCTGCTTTTGTTTGGCAATAATGGGAATATTTTCTTTAAATAATTACTCTCCTGCTAGTGTGTCATGGTAAATATATATACAGTATATGTATTTCTTTCACGGTTTTATTACATTGTTGCCCGCTGGTAGCAGTCGGGGAAGCTTGGTAGTAGTAAGTGTTCAGAAAGCATGGACAGCTGCATCTAAAGATAAATGATGCCTGCTAGGCCGCTGGATGCATTTCAAATGCAGAGTAATGTTCCAGGCAGCACAACAGAGAAGTTGTGCTTCTTCTGGTCTCATTAGAAAAGCCTGACGCTGGTGCGCAACTGCCTGGGAGGCCTGCCACCAGACACGCTCGCACATGTAGGCGTACAGACCGGGTGTACAGTACGGCTTCTTAATATTGAGTGAGACATTATTTTTCACCATCTTCTGTATGTGCCAGTTGTGTAAAGGCAGGATTCTGTTTGGAATCAAACGGTGCCATTTGCTTTTAGAACAGGCTTTTAAAGATAGTGAGCGTTATACATTATTAAGAGAGGACATTTCTTTTTGTTATCGAGCATTGTTATAACTCTTGTATTCTCGAGTTAATAGTCCTGCGGCCATGCGACTTTCGCATCCTCAGCAGTTTTTCATGTTAAACTTCTGTGAACAGAAGACATTGCTCCACCACTTTAGATTCCCCTTAGTGATAAATATGGTTTTTTTTTTATTTAAAACCTGTCACAAGTTTTATTTCTTGCCATATTAAAATTATTGCATATGAATTTGGGGGATTATTTTGACTTAACAGAAGAAGCAAAGAGGGGTTTGTCAGTTTATTTGGCAAATATGATGATGCTGCAAAGTGAGTATGGGACAATTACTTGTAATAACGGCAACAAAAAATATAACAGGACAAATGGAAGACAAAAGACAAAAAATGAGTTTATGATGTAACATATATAATATGCCTACAACCTTTCCTTAGCATGGGAATCAGCCCATATGAGGTGATTTCTCCCGCTACAGTATTTCAAAGAATTTTTAGAAGAAGTTTTATTGATTTGTTTGAGCCTATGTTAACAAAGTGGGTCTGGTGGATAGTGGGATAACGTTTCAAGATAGCAGTTCAATACAACGTACCCCGGTTCTCTGCATCTCCTGTTGTACACGGTGATGTTGGCAGGTGCACCCGGAGGCTGCCAGAGCTGGGTTACCTAGTTAGCTGAGATGGCTAACATTCTTAAGTTAATTCAGTGTTATGACCTCACAAATGCTAGCTGTTAGCGTAAATGTCAACTTGCTAAACTAACTCAGAGGTAACGTATGCAAAGAAAAAGCTGCAGAGTGGGATATCTTCACTGTCAGCAGTATGGGCGACTCATTTCATCATTCTATGTTATTCTAATAATAACAAATATTCCTTGATGGAGATTTAAGTATATTGTTTAAATGTACTACTGAATATTCTCATAATTACACACCCACTTAATAGAGGTGAGATTTTTTTTATTCAGTAGTTTTCCTGTTGTATAGTGTTTCATTCCAAATTGATATAATGTTAGATTTAAAAAAATGCGCAAACTTGTGTGTGTGTGTATACAGCTTAATTTCTCAACCCCCACAAACTTTCCTATTGCCTTTACAGAACCCATTCAACTACTAAATAATCCCCATCCTACTTATAACTCATGTTTAGTTCCTATCCAGCTAACATTAGTACTTAGATACGATCCCAGTAAAAATGATGTGCAAACGCATACTACACATGTCTGCTGCTGGTCCCAATCTGGTGTATGCGAGGGGATTATACAGTATAGTGAGGTGGTAAATGGAATAATTAAAGGAGAACAAATGTTCAAATTGTCGGTGTATCAAGCACGACGAGAATATACAGGCTTTGTGTTTGTAAATTAATTACTTATACCACTACAGCTGTCAAATCCATTTACCCAGGGAAGTGGGAGGGATCAAAAAACAGTACAGAACAATCAAGGAAACTTGTGAGGAATTGCCTGTTGCAGCACTAGTCCAAATATTTTAACTCCTTCTTTTTGCACTTTAGAAACATCATTCTCTAATGGATCAAACATGGATCTCTACAACAAAGTAATTTAAATTAATACTTTAAAACCTTAAATGAATACAGTGCAATGGTCACTGTTGGAAATCCCTGAATTATTTTGCCTGTCCAAGAGTCCCCATGTCTGTGTCTATTTCTCCGCACACACATATCAACCGCTGCCAGGGTTCTTCCTGACTTTTCAGAGTTTTGCACGATTGTGTCCAGAGGCACAGAGGGATCCTTTGGCTTCATTTGCATGTAAAGTGGAGCGCGCTCTTCTGTGGGCGTGAGGTGCCTCCAGACAGCCCCTCCCCTGTGGCCTGCCAGAGCCAGCCAGCAGCCCTCACTCTTCCCTACCTGCTGGGGTGGGGCATGACAGCACAGTGCGCAACATCTTAAGGTCCTGTCAATCTCTTCACTGCCCCAACTGGGGTCAACCATCTGAAGAGCAGCAGGTTGGCAAGGACAAACACGACCCATTTACAAAGACTCCCGTCAGCCAGACAAAGGGCATGGATAAGATATTAAAAAGGCTCACACGGGGCTGCAGAGTATAAAATGCAGGGATTGCAATGCCTCTGGCACTCTATAAGTATCTAATAAAACAAAAGTATGGGGAGCTAATAAACAAGTAGGGTTAGGAGACTGTGTGTAGACAAAAGCACTGAGAGTGGCACTTTGTGAAAAAGTCGATGTTGATGGAGGTTGCTGGGCATTTCGGGAGAGTGTTGAAACCATCTTATCAGAGTTAATAAAAGGAGAGGGTGTTGCAGGCTGACCCGTCATCTCACTTCTCATCAGTGTGGTCTCCAGTCTCACAGCAGTGGCTAGAGGAGTGGGACCTGGCTCCAAGATTGTGTTTAGATAATGGCCATCTCCAATCATAGATAATCTGGCCCCATCTTTTCTTCATAGACACAGCGTCAGACAAGGTCAGGGGGAAAAGGATTCCTGGCGAGGCGAGGAGGAGATAGGGATGGGGCGGCTCTGAGATGATTTACTGCTGAGATTCACTCAGCTGCCTCCATCACCCTCCGTTAACTTTCTCATCCTGTCGTCTCTTCCCCTCTCGCTCTTTTTGTCTTCAATCCTTCACTCTCTCGCATTCCTCCATGGGCCTTGTACTGAATCCCCACCTCTCTCACTATCACTCGCTCCATCTCTCCCTTTGCACTGCAGTACCAATGAGACGGAATGAGGGAGAAGGAAGGAAAAACAATAGAGAGGGAGAACAAGCGATGTCTACTTTTCCTCATTTCAGCCTCTTTTGGTTTGAAGCAAATTGCTTGGGTTTCAAGTGGAGCTATATTAGCGTATCTGTTCCTGCACTGACCACAGAGTGAGTGAGCAGAAGAATCATGCCTTGATTGTGTCTCAGTATCTCTGAGTTGAAATCATGGTTTGATAGAATTGTGCAGGAAAAAAAAAAGTGTTAACCACATCTTATAAATGTGGACTTTGTGGGGAAGAGGTCGGCTGACTCAGGGAACATAAATAGATTTGAGGGCTGTGAAGTTCCCCTCTCATGCTCCATTTTTTCTTGATAATCCAAGGAAAAAATAAAATAAGATATGAGTCATTGTAATAGACAGCCAGAGAATCAGCTCTGTGATCCACAATGGCAGCCGAGTGGCAGGATTTGTGTGGCGCCGTGGCCCCCCTCATCATTTTCTGAGTTCTGGTTTTATTCTCCTCCTGACACTCCCATACCCCCAGAGACAAGTCGTCTCTTAGGGACACCGTGAGGGGCTACTGGAGTCTCCAAATGGCGTAATGGGCCCTAATGCCTGCACAGGCACGTAATCGAGACCTCTGCACAAGTTCCCATGACAGATAATTGCTGATGTCTTGGTAGTGATAAATGTGACTCCATTCTAGAGGTACAAATGTCCCGGTGCAGCCCTAGGTTTGACAATCAAGAGGCCCCACTGGGATTGGTGCACCTCACTGCTCCCCAGCCTTCCACGGAAGAATCCCTCGCTACTTTCTCTCCTTTAGTCTTGGCTGGGCTGTCTATTGTACTTTAACCACAGGCCTTCATAGTAAATCTCATTTCATTGTCAGCCGTGACTGTGGTTTACTTCCCTGGCCTGTCTGCTGACTTCCTGTTGCCATTAACGCTCAATATCTCTGTTGGGGCCTGTCTGCTTGGTCTTATTTCATTCTGTGCTGTGTCCTGTCCTGTCCTCCCATATAGAAAGTCCATCTGACAGACTGGCAGAGGCTGTGCCAGCCTAAGAGCTCTCTGTATTTCATTCACACTGCCGGTTCATCTCCCTTCTCTTTCTGCTGAAAAAAGGGTTGTAATTGATATTGGGACCCATCCATCCTCCCTTTTTAAGTCCAGAGATCCAATTTATCTTGGTGAGAATGGCGATTGGCTCTCGCCCATGCCTTGTCGGTCATACTTTGCCTGTTTTTAGATGGCCGTTAATTAAAGTGCCGCCATGACAAAAAATCCGATCTACACGGGGGTGTGTGTGGCAATAGAAATGGTCCATCTGATTCACACTTGACCACATAAATCAGCAAAGTGGCTCAGTCTAATCTGACCTAGGCAGTCTAAATCACCACTCTGAAATGCAAGCGCAGGGCAGACACAGACTGGTCCAATTAGATCGTATTCCACCCATGTAAATCTTTAACAGGCTCAATCTGCATTAACCTCAGTGTTGTTAGTCAGAAATGGCTTCAGAATGAGCTAGTCAATCACCTTGTCAGTCAGACTAAAGATGGAGGTAGGAGGCTTTGTGAAAGAACAGTACTATGTCAAAGCACAATCGCTACATGTTAATGTCACGATTAATGCTTTAAATGGGCGGGTTTGCTTTTGAAACAACATTCTTTCACAAAAAAAATTCCATGCAGTATGCCAAGTGAGTTCAGCTGGAAGTCTTAACATCAAGCATTGAATCACACTGAATCTGACTCGGATAACTTTTAGATGGTTTAACAATCTATACTATTTAATCCCAATGTAATCATGGGACAGTACTCGAAATTAGGCAGACAGGATAGATAGGTAGCTAAATGGACAGTTCGAGAAGTAAGTAAGTAAGTTGGAAGGCACTATGGAAACATTTATAGTAGATACTGTACATGTGGATGTGGAGTTTAAAGAAGTGAAACAGGAATTAGTTGTGTTCTTACGACTAGACAAAAAAACAGATACCACAAAGAGGTTCAAAACCCCTTGAACAATGATACCTCCTAGTTTGAGAAACTTACTTTATGCTGTCTCCCCTTCATTCGATGACTTATAAATTCATACATCCATTCAAAATGATACCGTCTCTGTCCATGTAGTATAGCTCTGGGGTGTTTATATACTGTATATGTGTGTGTGTGTGTGTGTGTGTGTGTGTGTGTGTGTGTGTGTGTGCTTGTCTTTGTATATTTGGGGTCTATTCCATTGCCTCTTATCCTTATGGAAATCAGAGGATGTAGATCCTCTACTCGCCCTTTTTTTTTTACCATTCCCTGTCTCTCTTTTATTTCTCTCCATGTCTCTCTATCTTGTCTTTGAACTGCTCCCAGTGACTGTGAACCTGAGACAGCCCCTCTGCTGGCACAGATGGGAAGTCAATAGAAGCAAGTGACCTATATTTCGGGCTACTCTACTAACTCCCAGTGTGTCTCAAGTGAGAGCAGAATATTAAGGATTGCGTGTACGCTGTTCCAGTGTATTTGTGTGTTTGCGTGTGTGTGTTTTTAAGGGGTGTGTGCAACGGAGACCAGGAGAAGGTTAATTACCTCCTCGTCCTTCGCTGTCGGCTGGCTTTACCTGGATGGGTCGGTTCATCTGGAGAGAGAGAGAGAGAAGTAGACGGAGAGAGAGAAGGAAGAGATGGGAAATCCCAGGTTAGCACGAAATGATAGGAGTGAACAAGTGAAATGTGCTAGTGTTCCTGGCGTTAATGGCTTGATTCTGTCGTGCTCTGTGAGTTTAATGCAAAAATCAGCAGTGATGACAACGTAAAAGAGATCAATCTGTTTGGTTCTCCATGCCAACGTGTTTAATTAATCGAGGGCACTGCCTCTAGAGAAGCCCGAATTACCCCCACAGTTCAGCAGAATTAGCACTTTTCAATGACGGAGCCACACTGGGTGTCAGATGGCACTTGGAGATTAATGCCATTACATCAGCCACTCCCAGCCCCAGAGGGAGAGGTACTCTCAGGCTGGCCCTTGCTCTTCCTGTCCCCTCCTGGCTCCAGACTCGCAGTCACCAGCTATATACTGCTCATCCCTGACCCTCAGCAATCCCTCTTTCTCTGCCTCCATCCCTTCCTCCAGTCTCTCCTCTCTACCCAGAATCCCTTTTGCAACTCACAACCAATGTACCACTGGTCTGGACAGCCAGCCCCACCCTGACCCAGCCTGCTCCTCCTGGAAGCTATTTAGAGCCAACGAACAGCGTAGCTGTGAAACAGCTTGTGAAAGGTTAACAGTGGGGAATCGATAAACAACCTTTGAAGAACAACTTTATAGTGAGGTGAAAGCAAAACGTCGCCAAGCTAACATAATAAAAACCTTTTAAAAACTGCACACCGTGGATAAAAACTCCCCTGGCTCTCTTTGCTCCCCTGTCTATGGTTTCTTTTCTTTTTTTTCACTCCCCGGAGTTTGAATGTGAAAACAGAAAAGCACTTGATCTTGTGACTTCTGTGAAACGAATAATATCCCCTCTTTCCTTTGTTAAAAGGGGAGGTGTTATGAGCCACCCTCGAAGACCCTTGCTTATTGAGGCTACCCACGCATGTCATAGTTGGCATTGTGTCTTTTATTTGGCATGGTGTTTTTCTGGCTTCAGTCTGCAGTGGGCCTATCTTTCTAACTAGGCCATGCAGACAGGCCCAACATGTGAGTGCCAGTGAATGACACACGATATTGCCCCCTCAGATCAGTCAGCAAGGGCAGCACAGTGGGTGTTGGGCCCTCAGGCAACGCATCACTTGACAGCAGTTGACCATGGCCAAATATAGACCTAAGGCTTGAGACATGTATAGACAAGCATATACATGGTGACACCCTGGGGACGTAATGTACTTGCTTTGCAATATGCTGTGGCACTGGAACAAAGCTTAGAGAGATGACTCACAAAGACCAGCGAATGACACACACACACAGATTCAGACGCAAGCGCAGTCACATCCATATAAATGGACGTTGATAGAGGACTTTCACCCATGAAACCATTGTTTTTTTTTGTTATATTTTACGTAACAAATATATATATTTTAACCACCACGGTTTTTCCTAAACCTAACCCAGTGGTTTTGTTGCCTAAACAGGGCTTGTGCAGGCGCACTAATCGCTTGTGTTGCTGGACATTTGCAAGAGAACGGACAAAAGATTATATATAACTTTTCGATATGTGAACCTTTGTATGAGGATATGTTGACGATTGATGTATGTGAGTAAGCAGTGGAGAGAGTTAAGGTCAGTTGGAGCATTGTAGGCAGTATTGTATTGAAGGTGTGTTGTGTGTATATAGTGTGTGTGTGTGTGTGTGTGTGTGTGTGTGTGTGTATATTGTGTGTGTCTTGGCAGCAGCTCAGGTTGGGGGAAACATTTGTCTCACATAAGAGGTTTAGAGTAGCCTGAGGTCCCAAGATCCCTGTCCAGTGATCAGTCAGCTTCTAGGTCTTAAACGGCAGCGATTGGTCAGGAGGCTTCATTAGTAGCCCCTGAGCCACTGCAGCAACAAGAGTCATTAGACAACCCAAAAGTACACTTGTGGTTGCTAGGCAACCGAGCGGAGGTGGCCGGCAGGCAAGGCAGGCAAGGCAAGCTGTCCGTTGGTCTGTGGGCTGTTAGCCAACCAATTGGCACTCCTTTCTTTCTTCTTTCTTTCTTCCTTCTTTTTTTTCTTTACTTGGTCCGAGGAGGTCATAGTGAGAGGGGAGGGGAAAAAAAGATTCCTCAACTCCAACCTTCCAGCATGTCCCACTTTCATGTCCCTTTTTAGTGACTGTGACAATGAGTTTTCAGAGCGAGTCTGCTGCAACGTCTGCTCCAGCTTCCTGCCAAATTATGGAGTTCAGCTTGATGCCAAACTATGGAGTTGTGAGATGTGGAGTTGTGCATGTGGCAGCAGTTCAGATGTCTGCTTCTTTGAACTACATTATAGTGTCCTCTATATACATTTTCTTGTGCAAACAGAGGAAATGTTTCGAGCACATATGCATACTGCACAGACATCTTGAAATTAACTTTACTTTTATCCTCTTATCTCTCTCTCTCTCTCTCTCCCTCTCTCTCTCTCTCTCTCTCTCTCTCTCTCTCTCTCTCTGTCACTCACACACACACACACACACAGGCACAAAAAGTCTAGGGGCTCAATAGCAGCAGGTGGCTTAGGTGACATTTTAATCCCTTATTACTGAGTGCAGGATTAGCCAACAGATCAAGGCAGAGTTAATTATATGAATTCATCAGAGGCTGGGCGAAGAGGCAGCCTGCTTTCCCCTAGGGCCAGGACCCACCCCCACTCCCACACCACCCATCCTTTGCCTCCACACATGCATACACGCACACACTAAGGAAGAGGACAAGTGACATTCTGTCTGTCTGAGGAGCTAGCTAGTTTCTTATTAGCATTGCAGCAGCAGAAAGCTAAGATAGCACATGGCGTTTAGCCTTGTCGTTGGGCCCCGCATAATGAACTGCATAGACATTGGAGAGGAGGACTAGAGGGTTTTTCATCCGATAGACGTGTGGCTGCCGAGGCTGAAAGGAGTTCAACAACCTCCCGTCTTGCTTTATCTTTGTCTCTCTCTGCCCCTTTGGCCTCCAAAACCAATATGCTTCCCACCACAGCCCCTTAATGGGTTGATCAATGCTGACAAATAGGCAGCTCATGCTGTCTTGCCTGGGAACTCACAGCTCTGTGCCTGTGTGCTGCTACACTTAGCCATCTCTCTTTCTCCGCATCTCTCCCCTTTTCTGTCTTTCTCTTTCTTTCGCTCACTTTTTTTCCCTCTCCATGTTTTCCCCTCCTTCATGCTCTATTTCCTTTATGTCTCTACATTCTTTTCTTTTTTCTTTGCTCTAATCTCCAGAGGCAAATCTATATTTTTCATTAAGTTATGATGACTAAAAGTCAGCTGAAGTCACAGAGGGGTGGAAAGCCAACAGTGTGGAAGAGAGGAACTTGCTTACATTTTCCAGTAAAGGACTGTGTGTAAGTTTCAGAGCGTATGACTGTGTGTGTGTTTGAGTGTGCATGCACATCAATCCATCTATCTTTGGCTAGTCCACCTGATTGATAACAGTGCAGTGGAGGAAAAGAGAGACAAGGACACAGCTGGCCTTTGACCATGCTTTGTGAATACCACTGCTCACAAAGCCAGCAAAGAGAAATGCAATCTACCAGACACTTAAATACATACAAAATGTTCTCTGAGGACCGTGACAGAAGTGTGAGTACTTCGTCCACTGTTGAGTCTCTCTGGTTGTAACTCTTAAACTTCTTTTCTTTTTAGATGACTAGAGTGAAGAACATTCTTGGTGAGCCAAGTTGAATCGGACAGAATAAATCATACTGATTTGCAAATTGAAATGCATTTACTTTTTCTAACTGAATGACAATTGTTACCTTCTATTGCATCTACTGAACAAGTAGGGAACAGTTACTACTCAATTTTAGGGACATGCTAATCAACTATGATTACTTAATAGTTATGATGTGAGCTGTCTTCTGAGTAGATATGTAGTAAAGTGAACACAGGGCTAAACCCACAGAAAGTGCTGGTCGCGCAATCAATATTAAGTCATCAAAAAGACAGCGAGCTAAATGCACACAATATAAAACTGAAGCATTGTTTCAAACAATGGTTTTACACTTATGCAATGAAAATTAGCTCCAATCTGCTCAAGTGTTGTGTCTTGCGCACATGATGGATAATGAAAGCATATCTGGGCACACCTGCTATTTTCTTTCCTCAGTGAGCATCCACACACGACAGGTGTATTGGGTGAAGTGGAATATTTATAGCAGGATGTGGCGATGAATCATTACCTTCTCAGCCATACACATTACTTCATCTCATAACTTTTAAACAGCTGTGGCAATCACAGTGGCGCAAGACGAATATTGGCTCACCAAATGAGGGGAAGAGTGTAAGCCAACTTGTCTTAATAGAAAGATATTCTTGTCCAGGAGGTGCAGTGGCAAAGGCACATACGTATATACAGTTCGTCCACACAAATTCGGTGCCAACGGCTGATGGGGAACTTCTCTAAGATGAATCTACATTTGTCGGGATACTGAATGTCTGGTCACCAATTTTTGTTATATATTATCTGTTATTTATTGTCTTGAGTCTTAATTCTTTTTGGGAGTAAGTTGGATTTTTCTGAGCTTTATGAGAATAAAAATTCAGTTTGTGTGTAAGGAACATAATGCGTACATCGTAGAACAACACAGAGGCAAGACGGCAAACTTAATTACTCCTCTCAACCTTGACAATGGCAGTACAGACCAGATCCACTCCTTCCGCTGTTACCTTTCACAATATAAGCCCTAGATATACACAGTACACTGTGTAAGTGTTTACCCAGAGGAAACTCAAATTCACTCAGAGCATTTTGTTAAACGGAAACTAGCTTGTAGTAGCTTAGGCTACACAACAATATACCTCAGGCAGACTGCCAGACACTGCTCTGGATCAATAGGATGCCGTTAGTTGGTCCGCTGCCAGCGCAAATCTATTCAACCTTTTAATGAAAAAGGGTTGCAACTGTCGCAAATTGTTATCGCTGCCGGTATGAATAGTGTTGATGCGAAATATTTGCAGG